GGCCTTTCACCCCGGTGTGCCTCAGTTCCCTCCCAGCTGTTAAACAGGGCCCTGGGTGCTTCCCAGGGAGCTAATGAGTGTTTACCAAGGAGCTGGGAGATCCTCAGATCTCAGCTGGGCCCCACGACAGTTAGAAAGCTCCAGAAGGGCTGAGTGTTATGTGGGAAGGACAGGCTCAGGGGAAGAGGGAAACAGACTGTTCTCCTCCAAACTAAGGATGAAACCGGCTCTGAGAGCACCAGCCTCGGCTGCCACGGGCTATCCTCGCGCCCAGGGATGGGGTCCTGCACCCCCATACCTCTAACCACCTCCAAAGGCCAGCCCTGCAGCTCAGAGCAGGCAGAGCCCAGACGAGCAGCTGGTCTCCATTAGCTCCAGCGTCTTGCACCCCACACTGTGAACCCGCAGCTCCTACAGGCTCAGGCTAGCGGGGGGGGGGGGGGGGGGGGGCTGCCCCAGCCCGACCTCGCAGCTGACTCTGGGGTGGGGAGGGGGGACACCCCACACCAAAGGCCACGCTACCAACTGAAACCGGAGTTGGAGCAAGCCTCCCTTTTCCCACTGGGAGCGAGGGGAGAGGGAAGAAAGGAGTGTGGGGGTGAGAGGGTGGAGGTGGGGGAATTTAGGGCAAACAGCAGGCAGTGAAGTCAGCTGGATGGAGGCCCAGAAACCCCCACACCCTGGGGCCAAGTCTTACTGGAGCTTTGCTTTCAGCTCGAGAGTCTTGGCCGGGCCCCAACGCGAGGGAAGGCCCTGGCTGCCCCCTCCCGGCTCCCCACCCCCACCCTTATTAAATACACATTTTATCTCTCAGCATCTTCATTATCTTAACCGAAGGAGACAAGCAGGGGATGGCGGCAGCGGGGAGAGCGTCGGGAGGGGGGGCGGCGTGGGGAGCAGGCGCACCCTGGCTGTAAAGTGCTGATCCAGCGCTTTCGGGCCGTGTGGGAAAAAGAGGTGGGATCAAAGGAGCGGGCTGATTCAGAACTCAATCAGAGCTCCTTAAAGAGGGAGCGAGGCCTCTCCTCTGCCAGTCTGCCGACAGCCTGTGCCCGGGCCTTTTGCGCCCAATTAGTCTCCACCGCCAGTGCCTTGGGGCAGGGGCTGAAAATCAAGGGGAGGCCGGAGGGAACGCCGCCGCCCCCCCCACGCACCTTTCCCGCGAAGAGGGAGGCCGGCCACGGTGCGCAGCCTAAAAGACAATGTCAGGAGGACACCTTTCCAGGAGGAACCCGAGGTTCCAATGCTCCCCAAAAGTTAAAAAAAAGTGTGTGTGTGTGTGTGTGGGGGGGGGGACATCAAAGGTGAGTTCTTCCTTCATCCCTTGCCAGCTAGAGGCACAGCCTCTGCCAGGGTTTGGGACAGAGGGAACAGCCAGACAGGCACCCCGCTCCCCAGCCGGTGGGGACTCCCTCCACAGGCAGGGCTTGCTGGGAGCAAGGTAGAAATCGCCTCCAGCAAGACACCACATCAGAGGGAGCGATTGGAACGCAGCTGGGAGGCCAATAAACCTTCAGGATTGTGCCAAGATGTATTTTTTTAAGATGAAGCACCTCTTTTTTTTTTTTTTTTTTTACGGGGGCCTGCTCCACCTCCGTGTAAAAGCACCAGCCATGTTTATCTCCGGATCAGACCTGTGGAGATGGAGGGGAAGGTGGCGTCTTATTTGGTTTATTGATCTGCCCATTGAACACCTACCAGGTACCCGGCGCGAAGTCCTAGGGACAATACAAATATAAATAAAACCTCAAGCTTGGCTGTCTTGGCCTCTCTCGGTAGGCAATGTGACACCTCTTGACAGAGGTATACTTTCAAAATATATATTTTTATTGATTTCAGAGAGGGAGAGGGAGAAGAGATAGAAACATCCATGATCGGCTGCCTCCCGCACGCCCCACACACTGGGGATGAAGCCGGCAATCCGGGCTTGTGCCCTAACCAGGAATCGAAGCGTGATGCCTGGTTCGTGGGTCGATGTTCAACCACTGAGCCACACTGGCTGGGCTACGTGTATTTTAAAAAATCTCCAAGTCTGGCCCTGGCCAGTGCTCAGTTGGTTGGAGTGTCATCCAACACACCAAGAGATGTGGGCTCGATTCCCCATCAAGGCACATACCTACGTTGTGGGTTTGGTCACTGGTTGGGGTGCATATGGGAGGCAATTGGTCAATGTTTCTCTTTAAAAATCAATAGCCGAAACCGGTTTGACTCAGTGGTAGAGCGTCGGTCTGTGGACTGAAAGGTCCCAGGTTTGATTCCGGTCAAGGGCATGTACATTGGTTGCGGGCACACCCCCAGTAGGGGGTGTGTAGGAGGCAGCTGGTCGATGTTTCTCATAGATGTTTCTGGCTATCTCTCTCCCTTCCTCTCTATAAAAAAATCAATAAAATATATTTTTAAAAAATCAATAAAAATATACCCTTATATGATTTAAAAAAACAATAATCTCCAGGTCTATCTCATCCCTACTTTCCAGTTCTTACTGGTGTATCTTAGGGCACTTCATAAAGGCCGTGAGCAGCAGCGGGTGGTGGGGAAGAGGAGAGCTTTGCCAAGTTTTTGACCTCTGGGTAGCTTGGACCGCACACACTTGCCAGTTATCTGGCCACAGGCACGTCTTCATTGAGCAGAAAGATCGGTGGCAGCTCCGGGGCTGGAACTCACACCAGCTTTATTGTGTCTGCGTTCTCTCCATGGCAATCCCCAACAACACGCTGTGGAAGCTTCATCTGCTTCTCTGAAGGAAAGGACGTCAGGAAACCAGGATATGGACCCACGCGCCCACCCTCTTCACCAGGAAGAACGCAGGTCAGCGTCTTGCTGCTGCACTATGGGAAACAGCCGATGGTCCCGGCAAACACCGGGAACCACAAACCCATCCCATCCCACCACCAATCCCACTCCTCCCCCAGCTCTCGGGTCTCAGAGAGAAAACCCCGCAAGAGAAGGACTTCCTTCCTCCTCTCAGCCTGCTCCCCGGCTGCCTGAGTGACGCTGAAGACTCACTGACAGACGTCCACAGCTCTCCCTCCCATGGGGCGGCCACACAGGGACGCTTCACGCATCATTGACAGACCAGCCCTGTTCCGACTGCTGAAGTCTTAAGAGCAGCCGTGACCTAGAAATTGACTGTGGGGGGAGAACCGAAGGAACATAAACCAACAAACCAGCACGCAGAAAACCCTATTTCCAAACATCGGGGGGAAGGGAGGGAAACGAAGGCAGAAGGGAAAGAAGTTTGGCCCCTTCGAATCTGCAAATGCAATCTTGGCTCCGTGCCACGGAGGATCCATAGCGGTCCCACTGCGAGTCAAGCCATGTTCCCGACTCCAGCCCCACGGTGAGGAGGAAGGCGCCAAGCCTCAGCTACGCCGAGGTGGGGAGACCACTCCTTTCTGGGCAGGATCCTACTGTGGACACAGAACAGACAGCAGCTGCCCACAGTGTGGAAACAAACTGTAAAGCAGTCACGTCTCTTAAGGCTGCAGCATCCAATAAAATGTAATTTAAATCAAGCCTCGCATCTGTTCCCAATCCCATACAGTCTCTGCTTTCCATCAGCCTTCGGACAATCTTTGCAATTATGCTTGTTAACCCTTGTCGCCCCAGACCCTTTCCACGCTGCGAGGGATAACCGTGTTCTCCGCTCGCCAATCACCCTTGGAGGGAATGACTTCCTCTCCAGGAGTGTGGGAACATTTAGACTCCTGTCTATGCCCCGAGCTCTGCCCCACACCCGTGGGGAGTGTGCATTTCAGAGGGCTCTCTGCGAGCCTTCCTTCCATCCCGTACCACCTGCTGTAGCCCAGATCGCATTGCAGGGATACAGTGGGCAGCATGAATGAAACAGTGGCCGACAGATCACTTGTACACGCATCAAGTTCCCAAACTCAAGTCCGTGTTGGAAAGGCAGGAGAGCTCAGAGAACACGCTTGGTCACTGGTTCTCAGACCATCCATGTCACATATGGTTTGCATTCCAAGGATTTGCTCGAGTTATAAAACTACAGCCATCTCCCAAATGAATCAAACTCAAGCCTGCCTCCCCCTTTCTCAACACTGCAGCCCCATGCCTGCACTCTCAAGGCAGTCAGTGCTGTAATGGCGCCCTCTGGCGTTCCCATCTCAAATTGCCATTTTATGTCACCAGAAAACAAACCCAGAAGAGAGGAGTCTCGGGTAATCATATGAACTAATTCATCTAACAAGACTAGAAAAAGGAGAGCTAGATAAAAATCCGGCCCCAAACGAAGGCGTCTTGAGACAAACAGCTTCAATGGAGGGCAACGAGACTGTTGAGGGAAGAATTTCCACTACGAAAGCTTGAGTTCTCTGGAAATGTGCTTAAAAAGACAAAGAATGCAACTTGAAAATAAATATATTCACAATCTGTAGAGTTACATTCTGCTTACTGCCCCCACTTCCGTGGGGAGGGCCTCAGAAACGAAGTGAGTCTTTAAAATGCCACAATGTGGAAGTATCTGCAATGCGAACACAGGAAACTCCGAAAAGAAAGAAATCCTTTGATCACGAAGTGTCCTCCATGTTGCCATGAGGACTTGTTTGTTTGGCTGGATCACCTTTTCCCATTCTTCTGATGTTAGTACCAAAGTTCTTTCAAATACACCAATGGTTGAGGGAACAAAGAGGTAAATATATGCACAGTCCACAACATAAATCTACATCCTTGCAAGCTTAAGGTAGTAAATATAATTTAAAAGGGTCTACTTGGTCATTTTTAATGCATAAGAATAATAAGACCCTCATTTTTAATGCATAAAAAAGAACACCCCTCCAAATAAGACCCAAAGATGTTATAGTCTGTGTAAACATTCTTGAATCTATAAATTAAAATCGATCACTTTCAAGTAAAAAAAAAAAAAGGATTGTTTTCAGACCTGAATACATTAAAGTACTAACAAGAAGACTTTATAACGGTCTAAATAACACTGGATTGCTTTCAGGTGGGGTATTAGTGTAGGAAAAAAAAAAAAAAAGAATTTAAGGCAATCCAGTAGCTAAGATATTTCCAATTAAAGTTCTGTCTTTCAGAGCATGCTCTATTTCCTTCTCTTCAATCTTCAAAGACACCTGGAAAGAAGAGGGAAAAAGACATCATCGTGGAGAACTCGCAAAAGCGAGTCTGTAGCACAGAAAGGTCTGCCACATCGAACCATCCCCCCAAGAGCCCAGCGGGTTCAACGCTGCTTTTCCAACCCCCCCCCCCCCCCCCCACACGACCACCTCACTCCACCCCAGCCTCATCCTCACAGGTCTTCCGTTCTACGCAACAAGAAACACATTGTTGACCTAATTACAGCCATTTTAAACTCTTTAGCAAACACAGGTTCCCCAAACAGGACGATTAAAGGGAATGCCACGGAGAGCAGCAGCGGGCTGTACCTTGGTGAGGCGGGTCTCCTTGTTTTTCTTTAACTCTAAAATGCCCCTGGCCTCCAAGAGCCCCGAGAGGGACAGGCACTCGGACTGGTCCGCCGCCGCCACCTGCTGTTTGCGGCAGACGCTGCTGTAGGCCTCGTGGAGCTGAAAGGAAGAGGGAGAGAGAACAAGTGTTGTTTATTAGTCCTATCTCCTGTAGCCTAGTTATAATCTTTCAAAAATGTGAGTCTGGGTTTGCAAACAAAAGTTATCTCGATGCCCAATCCTCCCTCTTCCACAGGATCCTTGAACGGGCATCCCGTAGATACTGTCCAAAACCCCTACTGTCCTGCAGGAAAGGGGCTTTATATTTCGTCAAGAGGCAGAAATGGGGAAAAAAAAAAAAAAAAAAAAAAAATAGCCGAGACCGGTTTGGCTCAGTGGATAGAGCGTCTGCCTGCGGACTGAAAGGTCCCGGGTTCGATTCCGGTCAAGGGCATGTACCTTGGTTGCGGGCACATCCCCGGTAGGGGAGGTGCAAGAGGCAGCTGATCGATGACTCTCTCTCATCGATGTTTCTAACTCCTTATCCCTCTACCTTCCTCTCTAAGAAATCAATAAAATATATTTAAAAAAAAAAAAAAAGAGGCAGAAATGGCAGGGGAGATTAACTGTGAATCCTCAACCACAGCCCATGTAAACCAGTCAGCTGCCTTTTACATGGTTCCGGTATTTATTCTTACGGTTAAAAATCCGTTTTTAATTCCTATCAGCTGGAGCGCCATGGGCCTTTTGGAAAGTATCTACCTACTCTGCAAAGCAGAGTCTCACCTCTCCCCCAGCTCCCTCTGCCGACATCCCCAGCTCACCTTCCCCAGAGTGACCTCTTTGGTTTTCAACTGCCTGGTCAAGAGCAGCAAAGAGCAGACCAAGATCTTCTGCTGCAGAGGGAAGGAATCTTGTGCTCCGTCTTGAATCGAAGTCATCCTGTCTCCATCAACTTCTGCAATGACCTGGGATATGTGACTAAGGCCAACCCGCTTCGGAACCAGTGACTCAGAGGATGACTTACCTATAAATAAATACGTCGAGCATAATTAGGTTTTTAAAACGGAGTGCGTTACGACGGATGACACTAAGTTTGAGCTGAAGATAATTCAAGTGCAATCATGTAGGGGCAAAGCAGAGGTCCCAGGATAACGTGGGTGACTTCAAAGGAGGCTTATCCTTTTCCTGGGCAGAATGGTGAGCTGTTTTGCCCCGCACAACACAATTTAATCTCAGAGAGACAAAAACCCACCTCCTAAAAGAATAAGGACCAAAGAGCTAGTGTATCCTGCCCTGGGGGTTCCTAATATCTCAACGGTGAAGACGAACAGAACGTAGAAGCAAAGATGGCTATGCCCAGTTATTAAGGAAGAAAAAAAGCGGGGGAAATTACCTCATATGTTGAATCAAACACGTGGCTACATGTGGGCAGGATAGTCAAGCCTAAGTACGTCTCAGAGAGAGCCTCCACAAGTGACCTTTGAGGTTTGGTTCACTTGCCCAAGCTGATCTCTCCACTTGAGAAAATGTCATCGGATATCTCAGCAGATAGCAGCATCTCAGAGCCGGAGGCTGGGAAACAGCCAACAGGCTGCACGGCACTATGGCCCCATTGTTTGGAGATGCATGAACTGCAAGGCGGGAGGGATTTGCTCGGGAACAACCTTTGCCTGAAGTTACTTCCTGAGATCATGTGCAGTTGTCCCACAACCAGTTGCTTCTATTTTATTACAATGAACGGGATGTTGCGGAGGGCGAACAGTAGTGGAGAAACGAGATCGCCGATCAAGTAGCAGAATCTACGGCTGGAGGAATTTAGGGGCCCGGTTTGGCTCCTGTGCCATGGCTGAGCCCACTCTAAAACAGACCCAACAAGTGGTCAGCTATCCAGCTTTTGTTGGGGTATCTTCAATGCTGGGCAGCCCACAATGTGTCAAAAAAGCTCAGTCAGTGCTACTTATACAGGGTGGGGCTAATGTAGGTTTACAGTTGTGAGTACCCAAAACAGCGTTTGTTCTTGTATTATTTTTGTATTAAGTATTGTGTTATTTTATCATTTTTATTGATTTTTAGAGAGAAAAAGGGAGAGGGAAAAGGAGACAGAGAAAAACATCAATTTGTTGTTCTACTTATTTATATTCATTCATTTGTTGATTCTTTTCTCTTTTAAATATGTTTTTGTTGGTTTCAGAGAAGAAAAAAGAGAGAAATAGAAATATCAATGATGAGATAGGATCATTGGTCGGCTGCCTCCTGCACGCTCCCTACTGGGGATGGAGACTGCAACCCAGGCATGTGCCCTGACCAGGAACCCAACTGGGACCTCCTAGTTCATGGGTCAGCACTCAACCACTGAGCCACACCGGCCAGGTATTGGTTGCTTCTTGTATGTGCCCTGACCAGGAATCAAACCCGCAACCTTGGCATATTGGAACAACGCTCCAACCAAGCCACTTGGCCAGGGCTGTATTATTTTCCCATATGAACAACTGTAAACCTATTTCTGCCACACCTGTATATAGCTGAAGTCAGGATCCCTATAGCTTCCTAGAGCCATTAAGAGCTAATCACATATACCAGAGGTCAAGAAATTAGATTAGCCTAACAATTTACACCAGGAACTTATAACCTATTTTAGCTCTGTGCGTGTTGGCAGTGTTCACTGACACATTTGGTTGGGAGGGTGGGGTGGGGGAAGGAGACAATCCTAAGCACTAAGTTTGGCTACTTCTGAAGTATTTTTATTAATTTTCTTTCAACAAGGTAATGAAAAAATAGAAAGTGTTCTCTGTGGAACTACAGTGCTCGAAACAATTTCAATAACTTTCAGCCAGTGCAGGAAGGAAGGGAGAAACAATCAAATCAGGGTGCTGGGCTTCTCAAGATTAACCCTGGATATTAAACACTGTCACGGTATGTCGTTCGTGGCTGTTTTGTATCTGCCACCGCCGAGGAAAAGGAAAATTAATTTTTCCATTTCGGTAATAGCTTGCCGTTTACTGCAGCAATAGCATCCTTACACCTCCACCCTCCTAGACTTGGTTCAAGGCTTGAGATATCCCAAGTGGAACCCAATTCTCTCACTGTCTGACTCTTATTTACCAGGCTCTGCTTTTACCTATGCAGATACCTAAACTCCACACAACTTAAGCTCCCGGGAGAGAAGCTGATCCAACCTTGCTGTTTACAGTTCCCACTTGTAGAGCTTGAAAAGAAAATTTACTCTGTCCCAACCATTTATGTAACTAACACTGTGGGTAAACGCATTTCCAGTAATGCACGGAATTTAGTTGCGCAGGAAAGACTGAAATAAAGCTGACACACAGACACACACACAAAAATTGGTGTAGATTTAACCATATTCATTACACCTTTCTAGCTCTTTCCTCGGAAAAGTTAAGCAAGCTTAAAAAAAAAAAAAAAAAAATAGCTAAGCTTCTATTACAAAGGAAGATGGGAAGAAGATAAACTACTTACATTCAGACAGTGGTTTGAGGATAGTCTGGCTTTTGACATCCGACTCTACAATTTCAATAGCTCTCCTATAAAGAAATATTTCTAAAATTAATTTAGGCTGAGCCAAACCAAACACCACACCAAACTACTCGGCTCGAAATCAGACGTGTTAACAGAAAAACATGTTTTATCATTTAAAAGCCCCCAAACAGAACTAGGCTATGTCTCAGCGAAAGGAGAGTTAGTTGTCCTGAAATAATTCATAGACCAGGCAATTTGAGAACTTCCACACTACCGTTTCCTCTTATGGATGCCAAGTAGGCCACCATACATGGAGCCAATGATTACATCTCCGATGAGGAGAAACATCACGGATAGGAGAGAGAATACAGAGCGTGGGTAGTGGACTACAGACAGCCCGGACCAGCCATCCGCCCCAGCTCTGACAAGGGAGTCCTCCGTTTCAGACACTGCCATCTGTGGAGGCGAGACCACGCCAGCAGACAGGACTATTGCACAGAGCTGGTTTTTACCCAGGCAGTTTGCTGACTAGGGGAAACTTTCAGATCCAGCTAGGATCATGCCATCTAGCAGCAGGAAGAGCTTCTCTCCCACTGCTCTCTCCAAACTGCTTTGCCCACAGGAAGCCACAAGCCAGACCTGGATCTCCTGTATGGCAGTAGGGGGAGGTGGGACCAGCACGCCAGCACAGCAAGTATCATTTTAATGGACCCAGTGCCCCTACTGGGAAGAAAGAGATTTCATCAGTCAGCACGGAGGCTGTCCCCAGCGGGAGGAACAGGAGGATGGGGAGGGAGAGAGGTCTGGAGCACCACTGTGGGGACCGCTGGCTGAAGGAAGGGGTGCTCACAAAAAAAAGCAAAGGAAGGAAAAAAAAAAAAAAAAAAAAAAAAAATGTCTAAAGGCAAAGATGGTTCAGGTCCATAAATAAACCTGCTTGAGACCAGCTAATGGAAAAGTAAACTGGAGTCTTTTTTAATACAAGTGTAATTAACCAATCTATAATCACCACGGGGAGTGCCAGCAACATCTCATTTGTTCCTCCCTCGGTAGGTAATGGACTGATAATGTTTCAGACATTAACACGGGAGACATGCAGAACTCCCCGCTGAGAAACAAGCCACTTTTCTGAGCGTAAAAAAGTGGCAGAACGGAGCCTCTTAAACCACATTCACTTGAGTTACGCGAGACGATTAAGCAGCATTTCTTTTTTTAATAAAAGCAGCCAGCGGGGCCATCACTCACCTGCAAACATCCAGCGCTTTGCGAACGTCTCCAGAAACGGCAGAGACTTTCCGGGCACAGAACTGAATCGCAGCGCTGTCCAGGATCTGATCTCGGGAGACCTTCGGACAAGACACAAAAGGCGACAGTTTGAACTCTAAGAGTCCCCGCTTTGTAATTTAGATCTCAGGCATAAGTATGTTCACATGTAAGTCTATGTTGGATTGGCCACCCTGTAGGGTCTAAGACACAGTGGTTCTCAACCTTCCTAATGCTGTGACCCTTTAATGCAGTTCCTCATGTTGTGGTGAGCCCCAACCATAAAATTATTTTCATTGCTACTTCATAACTGTCATTTTGTTAGTTATGAATCGTAATGTAAATATTTGTGTTTTTCGATGGTCTTAGGCGAGTAGAGTCTAAGACCATCGGAAAACACAGATATTTACATTACGATTCATAACAGCAGCCAAATTACAGTTATGAAGTAGCAACAAAAATAATTTTATGGTTGGGGCTCACCACAACATGAGGAACTGTATTAAAGGGTCGCGGTACTAGAAAGGTTGAGAACCACTGGTCTAAGAGATGCCTTTTCTGCCTAGAGCAAATGGAGATTTGCCCTGGCTGGTTTGGCTCAGTGGATAGAGCATCGGCCTGCAGACTGAAGGGTCCCAGGTTCAATTCCAGTCAAGGGCATGTACCTTGGTTGCGGGCATATCCCCAGTAGGGGGCGTGCAGGAGGCAGCTAGCTGATGGATGTTTCTCTCTCATCAATGTTCCTAACTTTCTATCCCTCTCCCTTCCTCTCTGTAAAAAAAATAAATAAAATAAAAATCAATAAAATATATTTTTAAAAAATAAGTAAATGGAGATTTACTTATGAGACTGATATAGCCTATACAATAAAGAGATGATATGCAAGTTAACTCTCACACCATCACAAGATGGCCACACCCACAGTGGAGGTAGGGTTCCTGTAGCAAGTGACCAGTAGGGACCTGAGGCTGCGTGGCGCTAGGCCGGGGGATCTAAGGGTGCACCCCCCAAAGGGGCGGAGTTTGACAGGGATGGAGCTGGTTGGGTCTGGATCTCACCCACTGGGAGTGGGCCTAGCCAGGTTTGGGTCTCATGCAATTTCAAGGCATGTGTGATAGGAATTTGACTCTGGGTCCCACAGCACACCCAGACTCTGACAGGAGGGAGATTTTCATATAGATTTTACTAATTTTCTTTCTCTCTGACATTTCTATTATAGAGAAAGGGCAAATAGCAATATTAAAATATTTCTTCTAATTAATCCCCTTTTAATGTGCACAAATTTCATGCACTGGGCCACTAGCATGTTCATAAATGGAAAAAAGAAAGCAATCAGACCTTAAATTAGCAAAACTAATAAAATCTATTTGGTCATTTTCCAAAGAGAACGTTTTTTGAAAAAGAAGCATTTGAGTGATTCCTCTCTTATTTTTATTTCAACAGTGAGGCACCCAATAAATGGAGCCATGGGTGAAATTCTTATAAAAATGTTCTCCCTACGGCCCATAGGAACTGCATGGTTAGTAATGCCATCCAAACAAAACATTTTAGAGCTATTGTTAGACTTTCCCCCAGGAACACACAACTTGGTACAATGTGCCACTCACCTGATTAAGTCGATCCTGCAAGATAGTGGCTATCTGATTCCTGGTGTAAGGTGGGAAGTTCAAAAGCCGTGGCCTACATTTCTCTCTAGCTTGAAGCCTTGGCAGAATTCTGTCTGTGAGATCCAAGGTATTAGCAATGCCTGCGGAGATAAATAACATTAACCATCAAACTATCCTACGAGGAAAACTGAACCACCTGAAAGCTGAATAAATTTTCTAGTTATAATCCAGCATTCCAATTGCTGCTTCCCACTTGCTGCCCCCTCCTCCCCGCCCAATGCTCATTAGGTCAGATGTATATAGTCAGCACAGAATGCACTTTTCAAGTGAGGGCTGTTCACGGTAAGCAGAATCAGACACTCCAAAAATCAACACTGCACACCTCTGAAATGTAGTTTTATGTCATTTCCATTCGGATTTAACAAAACTGATTTTCCTTAGGTGAAAATTACTATTGTTTTAGAGTAATGTTCTTATTTTGATAAGAAAGATGATTTAAAATAAAATAGGTGATAAATAAACAAGAAATTAAAAAGGAATTTTAAGAATCACCATGTAACAGTAACAAGTGAGCACTCACCAATCAGCACCAATCGAGAATTGCTCAGCCATGGCCATTCAAACAGTGTGTACAGCACATCCTGCCCTTTGCTGTCCAGCTGGTCCATCTCGTCCAGCACCAGCACGCTACCCGGAAAGAGAAGCAATTAGTACCCGCATGCCCTTCCCTAGCTCTCCATCTGTCTGTCTGGGCTGGCTCTAGGTCACATTTCTACAGCAGAGATCAGTTTGAAGATCATAATTTGTCCTGTCTCCAGTCACAGTTATAAATGATCTCACCTCCACCATCATGAAAATGTACCATTATACATTTTTCAAGCACTTAGTTTAAAAACATTTTTCCAGCCGAGGCCGGTTTGGCTCAGTGGTAGAGCATCAGTCTGCGGACTGGGGAGTCCCGGGTTCGATTCCGGTCAAGGGCATGTATCTTGGTTGCGGGCACATCCCTGGTGGGGGGTGTGCAAGAGGCAGCTGGTCGATGTTTCTCTCTCATCGACGTTTTTGGCTCTCTATTTCTCTCCCTTCCGCTCTGTAAAAACTCAATGGAATATATTAAAAAATAAATAAATAAAATTAAAAAATAAAAACATTTTTCCAATTTAAAATTAGATGTCATTTTCCTTCCTTTTTTCCTTTCAAGCTTATGTAACGACCATTCACAGAGCAAATATAGGGAAACTAGAGACCTTGGCCTGGCCTGTGCGGATTGGGTTGAAACTGGCTCTCCGACATCCCCTGAAGGGTCCCAGATTGCAAGAGGGTGCAGGCCAGGCCAAGGGACCCCACAGGTGCACCATGGGGGCCAGGGAGGGCTCTAGGGCATATCCGGCCCGTCTCACCCAGTCCCTATTGGCTGGAGCCCAGCAGCAAGCTAACCTACCGGTCAGAGCATATCATAGTGACCAGTCCAACAAACAGTTTGATACTTAGCATATTAGGCTTTTATTATATAGGATGTCTTTTTTATGAAAAACCAATATATTCAATTCAAGAGATTAGCATGTGAGCCGAAACCAGTTTGGCTCAGTGGTAGAGCATTGGTCTGCGGACTGAAAGGTCCCAGGTTCGATTCCGGTCAGGGGCATGCATGTACGTTGGTTGCGGGCACATCCCCGACTGGGGATGTGCAAGAGGCAGCTGGTCGATGTTTCTATCTCTCTCCCTTCCTCTCTGTAAAAAATCAATAAAATATATTAAAAAAAAAAAAAAGAGAGAGAGATTAGCATGTGAATTTGTGGGTGAGAGACCTTGCAGATTTAGAGAGCAACACGCAGCAGAGCAATACTTACACCATGGGGCCCTTCTCTGCAGTAAAATGGTTTTCCAGTTTCTTCAACATGTCCTTCCCAGCTGGCCTGGATGCTCCTTCCTGACCAATTTCCTGAGCAATCGCTGGGAATACAGCCTGGGCCCTCCTCAAGGACATGCAATTCAGCATGATAGTTTTAAAACTTTTCAGCTCCTTCTAGAAAAATGCAAACACAGGAGTAATTTTAGCCTCGGATAAAGACTTGATGGGACCTGACGTGTCTGAGGCGTTAACAGCAAACGAGAAAGAATAAGCTCCACTTTCATCGGGAAAGATTCAGACAACGAAACCGAAAATGTCTTTTTTTGGGAAAAAATCTCACGTAAGACTTCTGACTTTTTCTTAACCTTTCCTGACAAAGTGCCATTTTAGCAAGAGCATCGTAACTCAGACGCTCGAGGTACCTTGAGGTCTTGCAGAATCCGGCTTAAGCAGGCTGTTTTTCCAGTTCCGGGAGCACCAGAGAGATAAAGACTTCCAGCTTTTCTCCCACAGATGTGCTCCCTCAGGAAACTCCTGATGATATCCATCTCCTTCTCCCTGGCAGGCAGCCGATCGGGGACAGCTGTGTTCAGGACCAGCTTTGCTTGCTGGTAGCAAGTGCCTGCGCCAGACATGAAAGGACAATTAGATACGACAGAGGCGACCGGGAAGACCCGCTGGGCTTCCTCTGGGTTCACCAGCCTCGGTGCGAGGCTGCACGGACAGCTGCTGTGGAAGAACGAACCTTCTTGCTTACACAGCCTCACGCACGCAGGTTCCTTCTCCGAGGGACGGCTCTGCTCAGGGTGTGCTGTGATCTCTTGACCTTTTCGAACAGAGGAACACGTTTTGTTTTGGTTTACTCCGGCTTGTCTTCTCTTGCCCGGAGACTTAACTGCCAGCTGGTTGTCAAATACCAGTTTGCGTCCCCTGGATGCGTGGGAGTGAGGGGGACCGTTCTCTTTCTTGCCCAGCTTTGGTGGAGAGCACGGTGATAAACGGGGCGTATTGCACTGGTTGTCGTCACCTGAAACACATTGAGATCAAAGCGCCGTCATTCGTGGCAGTGATGATGACAGGACTTGCAAAGACCCGGCCTCCTCTAGAAAGAGGTGAATTCCTGCCTCAGCCACAGCCGCCAAAATAAAACGCCTCTCATTGTAGAAGCAAACACTGGCCACCAGGTGGCGGCACTGAGCCTTACTGTTGTTGGGTAGAAAGCAAACAGGTTTCAGTGGATGACATTCTAAGATGGCTCTGAAACGGGGTCAGCACCACTAATATATTAGACCAAAGGACTCTTGGGTGTGTCCCCTGTGCATTGTAGAATATTTAGCAGCATCCCTGGTCTTTATCCTATATGCCTGTAGCACTCCCCAGTTTCAACAAGCAAAAATGTTTCCAGAATCTACTATCCAATCACCCCTCCTTAAAAACAAACTCTCTAACACAAGAAAGGATTACCAACTACCTTTCTAAAACAAGAGCATCCCCTGTGTCTCTTAATTTCACCACCATTCAGGCAGGTTTCAAAAATACTATACGGTACAGTTAACGGCAAGGTCCCTTTTTTAACAAGTTTATTTTTTTATTGTTGACAGTATTACAGATGTCCCCAATATTTCCCCCACCCCAAGCCCTCACCCCACTATTCTGGGTCCATGGGCTATGCATGCAAGGTCATTTAAAATACCAACAGAGCCGAAACCGGTTTGGCTCAATGGATAGAGCGTCGGCTTGGGGACTGAAGGGTCCCGGGTTCGATTCCCGTCAAGGGCATGTACCTTGGTTGCGGGCACATCCCCAGTAGGGGGTGTGCAAGAGGCAGCTGATCGATGACTCTCTCTCATCGATGTTTCTAACTCTCTATCTCTCTCCCTTCCTCTCTGTACAAAATCAATAAAATATATTAAAAAAAAATATATATATATATTTAAAAAAAATAAAATACCGACAGAACTACATTCAACAAAGACACTGAAGATCAGGCCTATAACATACTTGGATAAGTGATCTTAACGCTGAAATTCAGTGAGAACTTAGCAACCGTCCTGGAAAAAACCCCAAAGTGAATCAAGTGGTCTTCACAGAACTTCCCTGCTTCAAAGGATGAGGCGTTCTTATTACTGACTCAAGAGAGGCCACAGAGGACGCACAGAGGGTTGCTTACCCAGGCGCTTTCTGGGGCTGAGAGGCAGGCTTTTTGCACACGGAGTAAGGGGGATGGCCTTGACCTTGGTCAGCTCTACTTTGGTGTCACTCGAGGTTTTAGCTTTGTCCAATGTCCGAAATGGCTTCTTTTTTGGAAAGCCGATGGTGGCCTGTGACTGGGATCGGGTTCGAGGCATGATGGCAACACACTGGGCACGGGAAAGAGAACAGGAAGGAAAGCCAGTCAACAGGTAAAACTGAAGGAAAAACACCTCGCATGGAATTCAAGCTGGTGACCAGCACTTATCTCATACCTAAATGATAGCAATACTTGAGCACCCAGATCTGCTTCCCATCCAAATCTATGCAAGAGTAGCAAAAACTTGTCTACCAGCTATGTGTACAAAGCTGTTAAGAACAGTTTAGGTGCCGAAACCAGTTTGGCTCGGTGGATAGAGCGTCGGCCGGAGGACTGGAAGGTCCCAGGCGGACTGGAAGGTCCCAGGTTCGATTCCAGTCAAGGGCATGCACCTTGGTGGCGGACACATCCCCGGTAGGGGGCGTGCAGGAGGCAGCTGGTCGATGTTTCTCTCTCATCGACGTTTCTAGCTCTGTTCCTCTCTTCCTCTCTGTGGAAAATGAATATATATATATATATATATATATATATATATATATATATATATATTTTTTTTTTTTAAAGAGAACAGTTTAGGTATAGTCTCATCAAAGTTTCACAAATATGACTACCTTAGGGGTAGGTACTATTATTAAAATGACCCCGAAGACGAGAAAACTGAGAGCACAGAGGCCCGAAGTCACCGCGAACCGGGCACTCTGGCTCCCAGTGCTTCCCCGGTGGAGCGATGCAAGAGGTTTATCCTTATTGATCTCTATCCGCTTCTAACCCCCTGACCCCAGCCCACCATCTTCCAGATTCACAGTCTCTCTCCCCTCCACCCCCAGCCCCTGACCCCACTCAGCACTCAGCCTCCACTCCACACAGCTCTCAACCCCACCCGGCACATCTCCCTCCCACCTCACCTAAGCACACTGCCAGGCTGCTCCGACTGCGCACACCTCCCTTCCCCTTCCTTTTCCCCTTCCCTTTCCCCTACCCTTCCCCTTCCCCTTCCCCTATCCTTCCCCTTCCCTTCCCATCTCCCGCGGTCTGAGCTCCGCTCCGCTCCACTCCCTGCACCCGCGGGCCTTGTCACCCATCGCCCCCAGCCCTCCGACCCCAGCCTCCCGGGGCACTCCTCTCCTCTCCTCTCCTCCCCGCAGGGCTGCGTCACCTCAGGCCGGGTCCTTCCCTCCTCTCCGCACAGGGCTCCAGGGGTTCTTCACCAGCCTCTGAACACACCGGCGGCAGCAGAGTCCAGACACATTCGCGCCAAATGTGCACAGCCCCAGCTTTCCGGCCTCCCGCCAAAGGCCAGGCAGGTTTCCGATTGGCTGTGGCCGGAATGCCGCGCGCCTAGGCCAACGCCCACCCTCCCCTGCGTCCAATGCACAGCCAATGAGAGAGTCCCAGGTCTCGGAGCCCTCTTAAGGCCACGCCTACTGAGCGGAGCGGGCCGCGAGGGGGGGGGGCATCTACATCCGGGACCTCGGCCGGAAAGACGTGAAGGGAACAACTCTGCGTAAGGCGAACTGGTCACGCCGCAAAGCTCGGCGGGAGATGTAGTCTTTACCGCTCGCGACTTTGCCTTTCTCTCGATGGGAGGTACAAAAATGTGGTCGCTCCTTCTCAGGGCTGCACTTAACTCATTTTCGTTATCCTAATGGCTACATTTTTTAAAGAGCTACTACCGTGTTTCCCCGAAAATAAGACATCCTCTGAAAATAAGACCTAGTGCAACTTTGGGAGAAAAAATTAATAAAAGACACTGTCTTATTTTCGGGGAAACAGGGTATATCCCTATCATTTTGGGGACGGTTCTGGGGGTCAGGTATGATGCTAGGAGCTTTTCTCAACCCTGCAAGGCACAAATGTGCATAGGGTTAATTAGGGATCACAGCATCTTGTTGAAGGTTCTAGGATCCAGATTTCCTGACACCCAAACCAATTTTTGTTGTTGTTAAAGTTCCACGCATGCATAACGAAATATACAACCCCTCATTATAATATCCCGCTGATTTGTATTTCAAAGGTGAGAAATAAAGCCAGGCCTTTTCTTTTATTCTGTTAAAGGTAAGAATATATTGTGTACCTTCTTATCATTAATCCCATCAATCAACACTTTGTAGGGAGTGGAGAGAATTATGACCCCTTCATTTAAAATAAAAATTTTATGGCTAAACACTAGGGTTTCAGGGCCAGAGAAGATGGCTATAAGGCAAGCTGAGCTTTTAATGAAAAATATAAATTAGAGCAGTAATTTATAGGCCAGCTTCCAAAGCTAATAACATAGCGAAGCCCCAGATTCTGTTAAAGGCCAAAACCCAATTCTAGGTGATGGTAAGCATTTATCTTTCATCCTTCAATATCAAATAAAATAGAGCAATAAAGCTGAGAAACAGGAAAGCAATATTACAATCAGTCAGTTAATTATAATTAGTTCATATAGTAGATAAGAGCCAATACCAAGTGCTTAAGTGTATGCCAGGGGCTGAGTTCAAGCATTTTACCTATGTCACCTTATTAATTCTCACAAGCACCCCATGAAGTTGGCATTATTTCCATTTTACAAATGAGAGAAAGGAAATAGAAGGGGTTGAGTAAATTTTACCAAAGGCACACATTAGTAAGAGGAAGAGCTGGAATTTGAACTGGGAAAGTCTGATAGAAAATCAAACTCTCAACCACTTAAACATGGGGGAGGATTAGACTGATGCAGGTTCTACAGTGGCCTTCTAAATAGGGAGATGGTTAAGGCGCACATTTTGGGAAGGCTTTCCAGGAGCCCAAAACTGTAAGAGTGAAGAGATTAGGCAGACATGACAGCAAAAAGTGTTATACTAAAATGGAGGCTTTAAAAAAAATATTTTTTATTGATTTCAGAGAGGAAGCAACAGGACGTGATAGAAACATCAATGATGAGAGAGAATCACTGATTAGCTGCCTCCTGTACACCCCCTACTGGGGGCTGAGCCTGCAACCCAGGCCTGTACTCTTTTTATTTTATTGATTTTTTTACAGAGAGGAAGGGAGAGGGATAGACACATCGGTAACTGCCTCCTGCACACCCCCTACTGGGGATGTGTCCGCAACCAAGGTACATGCCCTTGACCAGAATTGAACCTGGGACCCTTCAGTCAGCAGGCTGAGGCTCCATCCTCAGAGCCAAACCATTAAGGACCTAAGATGGAGGCTTTTTGCCCAGCTGGCATAGCTCAGGAGATCATGGTTCAATTCCTGGTCAGGACACATGCTGGGGTTGTGGGCTCGATCCCCAGTGTGGGGCGTGCAGGAGGCAGCCAATCAAAGATTCTCTCATCATTGATGTTTTTTTCTCTCTCCCTCTCCTTCTCTCTGAAATTAATAAAAATATATTTAAAATGAAATAAAATGGAGGCTTTTGACCAGATGATATTTTTGATATCTTAATAGGGCAATAGAACCTAAAAAGCAACCTTCACTGCTCATATTTCTTTTTATAACCGGGCACCTGAAAATTGTCCTTCGTAACCTGAAATGGTAACATGTGCCCAGCCAGCCTTAAGGGATAGTGAACCACCTCTCTCCATTACGTGGGGGAGAGGGAGCAGAGGAAGCTGTAAGTACTTAGCATACATATCGGAGCCTTGAAAACCCCAGGAAGGAGAGCACTGGTCTATAAAAAAGCTTGCAGGAGTGAATGACCACTGTAGCAGCCGGCTGAGAACCACAGGATGTCAGACTGAAAGGTCTCTAAAAGCTTACCGACTTGAGGCATTCCCTTTCCAATATTCCAGTAACATGCTGCACACACCACATTGAAGTTTCTTGCTTCTGTGCCTCTGTCCTTGCTACTTCCTGTCTGGAATACTGCTCACCATCTTCCTTCACTGGCTAATTACCATGAAGCTTTTTAAAATATATATATATATATATATATATATATATATATATATATTTTTTTTTTTTTTTTTTAACTGATTTCAGAGAGGAGGGGAGAGGTAGAGAGAGAAACATCAATGATGAGAATCATTGATTGGCTGTCTACTACATGCCCCACAGTGGGGATCGAGCCCACAATTCAGGCATGTGCCCTGACCGGGGATCGAACTGTGACCTCCTGGTTTACAGGTCAATGCTCAACCACTGAGGCACTCTGGCTGGGCCCATGAAGCCTTTTTAATAGCCTGTAGAGGTTTCTCTTGGTGGCTGTCCTGAAGTCTTCTACTAGATTCTGAGCACCCTGGAAGCCAAGGCCCTGTGCTCTCATCTCCATGTTACAGAGGCCTGGCACAGTGAAGTATGCAATAAATGCTTGCTGAATGGAAGGACATGTCTGCCAAGTGAGGCATCCGCCTTTCTCATGAAGATTTTTGGTGGACAGATACCATAGAGTCCTTTAAATCTCACACACCTACCCCTAGACATGGAAAATAAATCCAATTATATGTAAAATACAATCCAGACTGGGCTCCAGTGATGTCAGGGGTGTAGTATTTTCCCCTCCAGTTATCCTCTAGGGTAGTTAGGATCCTGAGGTTGACATTTTCGTTCTCTTCCCTCTGCAGAGTAATGGGAAGTCAGAGACAACAGTGAGTCACACAGTTTGTGGCTGGGTTGGGGCAGGAAATACTTAAGAGGCACATTCACAGTGAGCAGCGGTGTCCCAGTAGTCATTAGACTGGGCAAACTACTGCCCTTATCAACTAACTCATACACAGTATCATGAGGGAAGGAATCAGATCACACTGGAAGGACCTGTCCGGCATCCTGCTGTACAAGTACATATACACATACACACACATTAGCAGTATCATCCCAATAGGATGGAGAAAGCTTATAGCATTAGGAAGTTGAGGGTCACTTAGGCAAGCTCTATTTGAGGGCTACTGACAGTTACAAAAGTAACAAATCAAAATAGGTAGTTTATTAATCATATTAATAACAATGATGGGTCAAATAATCAGGAATTAGGCCAATTTGGCAAGTATGGATGAAAATGAAAGGAGCCTCATAGATTTTGATATCTGAAGTATGTGAGAGTGATTCATATACACACCCATCCTGAAACCAGTATGGGAAACAATTGCAAAACCTTTGCTCATGATGAAAGTGCAAGTTAAGCTCAGGAAGTCCAATGGTGATTGTGTCAGCTGACCATAGTAAGCAGAGAATGTCTGGTTTAATGTTTACACCTGAAGTTAAAGTTCAAGGAAGCCTGCTGAGATTTAACTTAAACAGTAGTGAAGAAAAACAGGCAACACCCACGTAAAAACAGACACACACACACAATCTACAGGCTCTGCCCCCACTTTTGCTTCCACGCCTCAGTCTGAGAATCTGGCGTGCAGCACAGGCAGAAAGAATCGCAAGGGATTCAAAGAAAGGACACAAGGCCGGGAAGCGTCCTGGGTTTCCTGAAATAATAAGCAAAAGGGAGTTAGGTGGCAAATATAAACAATGGCCAACTCTATCAGAACCACCAGTCAGTATGGCTACCCAGAACTGTGCTTTTCAAAATAACAGGAGGGGAGGATAGAAAACCCTAGCAGCTGCAGATGCTTCTGCCCAAGTCAGTGTACCTATTTTCCGAGAGGACCTGAGGTCAACAACCACACAACCTGGAACATGAGGTCACAGGTCTCCTCTCCTCTCTATGCCACCACAGGAGGCGGGATTCCAGACAAGAGTACACAGTTCTCAATTGTTGTTTTGTAAGCAACATTTAATTAAACTGCACGGCATCCAGGAGAGACAAATGTACCAAAGAATCCAACCTGAGACCAGATTATACATTGTAGAGGGGGTTGGAAAAAAATCAATGCTAATTGGGAGAGCACTGTAATCAGAATACAACTCCAAAATAAATCATACAATAAATTATTTTTTAAAAGAAAACTGACACACATATACACACTCACACTCTTCACACATGCATTCTGGTCTTTTATTCAGTGTTGACTGACTTCCATGCTGGTAGTGTCAGGAAATGACGAAAGATAGATGTGAGAAAAGTAGCATGGCCCCTCTGCCATCAGTAAAATAAGATTTAAGACATGTAGGGAACCCACTGATGTTAGAAACAAGAGTAGAAAGAAGGAAACAGCAGTTATCAAGGAAGATTTTAATTGCTTCGAAGAGGGAGAGAGGAAGAAAGCACAGAAATCTAACACAAGTAAAGGCACAATGAACGTGGAGTCGAATGGAACCAAACCCTTCCTTCGGTTAGACAGTTATTATTTTCTTTTTTTGTATGTTTTGAAGGTGGTTGTAGTTCAGTTTCATTTTGATGAGTCTTGAAGGCAGAGCTGTAATGCCTTTCACTCCCTAAGTTTAGGGTAGCCCAGAAAGCTACCCTAACTACATAGCCAGGGACTGAGATTTAATAGGGAAAGAAACTACAACTGGAATGTGAATTTGATCTGTGGTTGATTGTAGGTTGGGTTTCCAGGACAGACAGCTCAGTGTAGTGCCATCAAGGGCCTCAGATGCCCTATACTCCACCCCCAGAGCTTCGCAGCAGATCCTGGAGTCACCCTTCTCCCCCACTCCCATAAGCACTCAGCCTACAGATTATTTCAAGTGATCAGGAGAATTAAAACACACCGCAACCTGAGTTGCTCCGTAGCAAGTCTATTTACAATTTTCCTCACCTCTCCCTGGAGGTAAATCTGGGTTTCAAGTTGGGAAGCTGTGGGGTGAGGGGTGCCCCCAGTGCAATGGCCAGTGGCTAGTCTCTGCCTTTGCCAGCTGGGAGGACAGCAGCTTCACAGCCACCGGGTGGGGTAGCCCTCGACCCTCTCTCTGGGCACCCAGGCTGGGAAAATAACAGGGCTCTGTTGCTGGAGGAAATCCCCATGACAGAGTAAAGCACTCCTGGAATATCGAAGTGCTTTGATCCAGGTTTGGTGACCAGAGAAGAGGGGGGAAGGAGGGCATCTCAGCTCATTTAAAAACCTGGAGGCCACTGCCCTACTTCCCAGAAAGAGCGGTAAGAAACAACTATAGTGTTACGTTTTCCCCACTAGAGAAAAACATCATGAAACCAAACCCACACAAGGGCTTTTAACAGTTGCCTGCTTAGTTGGGCCAAGTCTCCTCCTTCTGGGAGGGGAGATGGGGGTTATGGGACTGGGCAATAGCCTCAACATGAGACCAGCCGTCTCCCACGGGAGAGACGACATTCCCAGAAGCAGATAAAAAGCCATTTAAAAGGTGAGAAGTTGTAGTGCTCTTGCAGCCAGCCCACCTTCAATCTATAGTACAAGCTTTTTACAACATACAAAATAGATCAATAACTATGAGGATCACATTCCCATTATTCAATAGTAAATATACATGATAATAAATCTGTTATTAACAGAGGGACCAAATATGGATAAGGCAAAGGACATTTAAATAAGTACTGTGTCACCGACATGCGCTGAAGAAAATACATCCAACTAGATCCAGACCGAGGCCTTTTCCCATGAGGCCAAGAAAACAAAAATACACCAATACCCATGTGACACAGTCCAAATGCTGGGGAATCTGAGCAGCAGGTCAAGGGAAGATATCAGCCCCAATGAAAAACTGTGGTTTGGCTTTTACTTGTGATACTTATTTTGATGTTCTATGTTTAAGGAAGGGGGGAAAAAATACATTTCTATAACATTATACAAAAGGCATCAACTCCCATTTCAAAAATAAATGGGAAGACTTCACAGTCCAAGTTGAGTACTGATCAGCATCTACCCTGGAACTCTGCTGCAGTAGCCACTCCTGTTCTCCCTCCATTAGTGTCCCCTCTCTCAGCTCACTCACTTCAGGATGCCAGGGACATTGCTGGGAGGTAACTACTAACAGGTTTGAAAGTAAGAATGGTAATGATTAGAGAAGTGAGATGACAGACCTAATCACTGTTTGTCCCAAGAGGCAATATGGTCCAGGAGATGATCAAGGCTAGCAGACCCACACAAATAACCCAAGTGGAGCCCTCTCTCTCCTGGCACTGGGAAGACTTGGGTTTCATCCGGCACTACGCACAGATCCTCAGTCTGTGATCCAATAGGCTGGAAAGGTCCCTGAAATAGTTCAAGCCTGTGATGCGATTTTTTAACAGACTTTCCCCAATCATTCCAAAAAAATCACTTTGGCCTCCTTGCCCTTACTTCAAGCTTTGAGTAGCCTCTGCACTTGGCAGCAGCAAACCAAACCCCTGTGTGTGGAGCCCAGGAGCCCCGTTCTGCTGTTCTTTAACTAGGACCCAGAAGACGAAGAAACAACACATTGCTGGCTGCCAAAGAAGATAACCCAGCTGAGAGTCATCTCACCGAAGCCTTTGTGCTTCTTGGCATGAGGAGTCTTTGACTCACGAGCCTCACCGCTCTCTCCTCTGCGGTCTTGGAAAGGCAAGGGGGGAAGAGAAAAAAACAGGAAGCTCCTTTTCAGTCAGTGGGCTGTGAACTCTACAACAAGCTTCACCTTCCCTTCTTCGTCACCATGGCGTACCCATCAAGGGTGCAGTTTCTGGTCAGGACTGTCCTTCAGGACCAGCCAGGAAAGACTGAGGTAGATTCAAGGTCTTACATAAGACCAGGACCCCAGCCCTAGCTTCCTATCTCCCACCAGAAGTTTCTGGAATCTGTGAACATGGAATGAACAAAAGTGACTTTACTCTTGAGGGGCTGGGTGGTGGAGGGAGGAAACATCATCCCTCAGCCTCAGCACCCTGAGGAAAGGGAGGGGGGAGGGGAGGAGAGGGAGGACTCAAATGGCTCCTGGTCCCTTCGCTGCAGAGAAACTGACTAACACTAAAAGGCTCGCCAGTTTACTTACCTCCCTTTTTATTAGATGTTTAGTTCAACTGATTAGTATTTAGTGTTTATATCCAACTTATCTCTGGAGTGAGGATATGGGGTAGAGTAAGAGCAAAACCAAAATACCCCCCAAAATAAAGCAGACCCATTCCCTTATCCTTTCTCAAACTTGACCTTTAAAACAGATCATTTCTCTGCAAACTCCTTTCTTGTTTCACTAAAAATGTCCCCAACCCCCAAGTCCTGGCCATGTCAGCCTCCTCAATGATAAAATATACCCGCCAAGCTTCCCCCAGAGTGGGTAGGAGGAGGTAGGAGTACCGTTCTCTGCCCTGCCCCAGCAATGGGTTAATTCATCACAACAAGGCACCTTTCCCCGCGAGGAAAGCAGGCGACATGGAAGCTGTGTCCTCATCTGGCTAGCAGGGATTGCTGAGGAGGGATGGACACAGGGTTTGAGACCCTACTGTCAATACAGAGTCCAATCACCAAGTCCAGAAGACAGATGCATAGATGGAGGCAAGCTGGGAGGACGCTTGGAGTCTAGAGGTTGTTTGCACTGGAGAAACACATTAGGAGGTTCTCATGCAGGTTTTAGGGGAATGGGAGGGACCATCTGAGAGGAGGAGAGGGTCCATCCTTTTCCTGAGGAGCAGGACCAACCCAGGCTTCACCTGAGAATGGGTGGCAGAGGTGGGGCTCCACGGGCAGCTGAAAAACATGAACAATAAAAACCACATGCACAAGACTACCCACCAGATCCTGAATAACCCAAACATTCCAAAATGAGAGACAGGCTCTATGAGCTAATCTTTTACACTGAGAGATTATGTTTTGTTTTGGTTTTTAAAGAAAATGAAGATGAGAAGAAACAAACTTTAAGAACATTTCTAAGAAAAGAACACTGATTCTTTTTTTTTAATGCAATTATGAAAAAACCTTCATGACTACTCGTCTCACCTCGGTTTGTTTTGCTGGGATATACTCTCTGAAAGTGTTTATATTCTTCTGGAGCAGGAAAGTCTTCTACTGGATGGAAAGAATACTTTGACTCAAAATCATCTACAAAAGAAACAGAATATTAATTCATATCACCCTTCTAACCCTCTGTACCACTTCTTATCCTCCCCTTTTTGGTCTCCATTCATTCTGATATACGGGAGGGCCTGCCTTGCCCACTAAACCAAGATTTCTAACGTCAGCAATAGCATTGCTCTACGTGGCTTGTATGCGCTCAAAGGCTCTCTACATTAAGGGATTAGTCTTTGGCCTGGTTGTTTTGTTTGTTTTGCTAATCTTCACTCAAGGATATTTTTCCATTTATTTTTAGAGAGTGGGAGAGGGAAAGACAGAAACGATGAGAGAAACACAGTGATTGGTTGCCTCCTGCCGGGCCCAGCCGGGGAGGAGCCTGTAACTGGGGTATATGCCCTTGACCGGAATCGAACCTGGGATCCTTTAGTCCCCAGGTTGATGCTCTATTCACTGACCCAAACCGGCTAGGGCTTGACCTGGTTTTTAAAAATATTTCCACCAAACATCAGGCATGTAACAGGAAAGGAACACAGCTGTTTGAATGGGAAGAGAAAAAACATAATTCTTTAATAGCCCCTTAGATGCTACCACCATGGGATACCAATGGAACTGAATCTACAAATTGGTAGAAATTAACCTAAAATGGGAATATTTGTCACCAAGGAGTGAGAGTTCTGACCAGATAATTCCCTTTGGGCCCAGGTTATCCTCATGTAATTCTGCAACACAACACCTCATGGCCCCCTGCCACTTTCCACGGCCCCTCTATAAGAAGGCTCAAATGCTCTATGGGTGTGGCTTGATGACATTCCGAAGGACTTGATCTTTAAAGCAGAAACCCTGGCCCACCTAATCAGAATACACTAGAGCAAGGGTAGACAAGAGTGTTAGGTCTGAAAGGGACTGTACAGATCTTCCCCGGAGTCTAATGATACCTTTGGATAACCCATGAATACAGACAACAGGGTGGTGAAGGCCTGGGGTGAGGGCTGGGCTAGAAGGGATCAGTGGGGGTCAAGGGGGACATAATTAATAGTTTCAACAATAAAGATTTTAAGAATAACTAAAGAAGTTAACAAGATGAAATTCGAGTTAGAGAGGTAGGTTAAAAAAATTATCTTAGGTGAGGCCTAAGATTCATTGATAACCTTGGAAGAGTTAATCTGACACACTCCTGATTTAGTCAACCTCCTCATTTCATAGCTAAGGGAAGTGAGGCCCAGAGAGCGAAGCAACTTCCTTCAAGTAACAGCAGCTAGTTAGTGGCTTTGGATCACTAGGTAAATATTGTCTACATACTGGGATGTTTTTTGTGTAGCAGTTTTTTAACTTTTTTTTTTTTTAATAATATCTATTTTATTGATTTTTTACAGAGAAGAAGAGAGAGGGATAGAGAGTTAGAAACATCGATGAGAGAGAGTCATCGATCAGCTGCCTCTTGCACACCCCCTACTGGGGATGTGCCCGCAACCAAGGTACATGCCCTTGACCGGAATCGAACCCGGAACCTTTCAGTCCGCAGGCTGACGCTCTATCTACTGAGCCAAACCGGTTTCGGCAGTTTTATAATTTTCTTCAACGACCAGCAGTGAGTTCTCATGCACATTAACTGTAGATTTTTAAAAGCGGTGACAGCTATGTAGGTAACTGACATCCAGAGACTGCTTGGTGAATCTTCTCCTCACTATGGTAGGGACATTCCTTATCCCTTTCGCTGAGGCAGCTGTGAGCCTGGTATCACTGTGTACATCGGAGTTCCATCTCCTTCATGGCAAATTTTTGCATCTCTTCGAGTGCTTCTTGAAACTCGTTTCATGGACGTACTTGTGAATGATGGTGGGTCACGAACTCTCTGATGGCAGAAGGGGCCCTCTTCTTGCCACCCTTCTTTATGGGAGCCGTTATGCCAGGCCCAAATTGGAAAGAAGGTTTATTTTGTTTTTAAAGGGCCAGAAAGGAGCTCTCCTTCCTAGGGGAATACTCACTTCCTGTCTGAGTAATCCTGAAGAAGATGAAGTCTCTGACTTAAAGGTAATCACAGCTAATGATCCTTAGGGAGCAAGAGAATGGCTTTAGGGTTAGCATGACACCTGCTGATTTTACTTCAATCTAGCCCAAAGCAACCCATGCTTAGAATTTGCAAAAGGGAAGGAACATCAATGGATAGGAATTAGAAGTCAGATGTAAAGTTAGGAGAGGAACTGCTGTGAACAACAGATATAAGCGACCATTCCCATTCTACCGGAATCAGATCACCACAGGAACTATGAGACTACAACAGCTAGCTACTCACCCAAGAAAGATCGAACAGTGGTAATGGAATCTCTGTGGCCGTTCCTCAAGGGTGGGGGAGGAGGAGGTGGTGGCCCAGCTGGCGTCCTGGAGGGCGGAGGCGGGGGCTTCCCCCGGTTCAGAGGTTCTGACCCATGTCGGTATGGTGGTGGGGGAGGGGGAGCATCCCTGGCACCATTTCGGATCATGGGTGGTGGGGGTGGAGGAGCTGCAATTAAAATCCGAAGCAGTTAGGTCTGGCTGTATAGGCTGTGTGAGCCTCTGAGCACCATGTTAAACATCATATTCACTCTCCTCCCATCCCTGCTCTACCAAAGTTCAGAATAAATGCAGACTCTTCATTTTCCACGTCAGTTAAGAACTCTCTGTATTCTTGATTTTTGTCCTGCTTTTCCATGTTTTCCTCCATAATTCTAATTTAGGGCTTCCTCCATAATTCATACTTAGTCTGTTCTACTGCAAAAAGCCTCCCAAATGTTCTTTTTGCTTCTAATCTCTTATACCAATCCACTGTGTGCACCGTCAACTCACTCATCTCCCCAAACTTTGCTCAAACTTTTTTAAGAGCTCTGCAGTTCCTATATCATAAAGTTTCAAACTCTTAGCTTCCAATCCAATTGGGTTTCCCCCAATTATCCTCCTTTTTTACCTCAGTGAGTCTGATCTCACCTTGTACTCTTCCTTCCTTTTTTTTTTTTCCTTTTTTTTGTTAATCCTCACCCGAGTATATTTTTTTTCACTGCTTTTCAGAGAGTGGAAGGGAGTGAGGTAGAGAGAAAGTGAAACACTGATGTGAGATATACATCCACTGGTTGCCTCCCTCCTGCAGGCACTTGGACACAGGTATGTGCCCTTGACCTGGAATCAAACCCACAACCTGTGATATGTGGGCCAATGCTCTAACCATTAAGCCATGACAGCCAGTTCTCTTCCTTTCTTGACTCCTATGCTGGGTTAGGTACCCGTCTGCACTCCCACTGTCACCTCTGTATCTCAACCATTCTATTATATTGTACTATATTTATTCATTAGATGTGCCACCTCCCAGTATACTGTATATTCATTAAACTCAGAGCATTGTCCATTCATCTAAGCACCCAACACAACCAAATGTACAGCACATGGTAGGCATTCAATCAACCTTTGCTGAATAAACCAAATTACGTTGCTCTTGTGACTCCTCCCCAATACTCGGAAACGCCATCCCCTTTCCTTTACTACCGAATCCTGGCTATCCTTTAAGGCTCAACTCAAGTTTCCTCTTCTCAAGGCTTTCCCAAAGCAATCTACTCTATTCCAAACTCCCCCTTCTTTGGTCTCCCAAAGCATTTATAGGGATATCACTTTTTAAAAATATATATATTTTTATTGATATCAGAGAGAAAGGGAGAGGGAGAGAAAGATAGGAATATCAATGATGAAAGAGAATCATTCATCGGCTGCCTCCTGTACACACATACACTCCCACTGCCCACTGGGGATCAAGCCACAACCCGGGCATGTGCCCTGACCTACCAACAAACCATGATCTCCTGGTTCATAGATGAACGCTCCCCAACTCCCTTAAGGGATTTCCATATTTTTATCTCCAAGGCCTCTCTTATTCCTGCATTTGTGAACTCATTCCAATTAGACTTCTACTTTCACCTTTCCTCCACCATTCCACTAATACCCAAAAAGATCCCATGTTGTTTGGAGTCCCCCCAAATGACTCCCATATTGCCGAGACCAATGTCATCTCGGGCTTCAACTTAACTGACCTAGCTGTAGCATTGGACACAACCCTAGAAGAAGTAGATGAGATTGTGTGTTCTCTTTACAAAATAGCATGAAAGCAGACAGTGAGGGAGTCTAGGACAGCTGCCTGGGGCTTTCTCATATCCAGGAGTTTTGGCTCACTCAATCTTGGAATTTCTCCATCACTTTCTTCCTTTCCCTCCTTCCTTCCTCACTAGGGGCTCTTTCTCAGCTTGTCCTGCTTGGCAGTCTTCATCTCTCTGACCTCTAATCTAGGAGGGCCCCCAGACTTAGACCTCTTCTCTATACTCTACCTGGGTGATCTCACTCAGCACATCGTTTTCAAGATCGTTCAAATTTCTCTCTCTAGCCCAGACCTCTCCCCTGAACTTCTGAGTTGATAGCCAATTAATAATTTCCTCTTGAGCCGGGTCCGGTTTGGCTCAATGGATAGAGCGTCGGCTTGGGAACTGAAAGGTCCCGGGTTCGATTCCGGTCAAGGGCATGTACCCTGGTTGCGGGCATATCCCCAGTAGGGGGTGTGCAAAAGGCAGCTGATCGATGACTCTCTCTCATCGATGTTTCTGACTCTCTATCTCTCTCCCTTCCTCTCTGTACAAAATCAATAAAATATATTTAAAAAAAAAAAATAATAATAATTTCCTCTTGAAAGTCTAACAGGCATCTCAAACTTGAGTTGTTCAAAATTGAGTATCTTCGCCCAAACCCGCTGTGGTCCTACCCACCTGCCCAGTTTCTTGCAATAGCTTCATAAGTGGCATCTTTTTTTGCCACCTGTCTTCCTGCAGTCTGTTCTCAACATAAAAGCTGATATTTTTATTTTTTTAAATATGTTTTTATTGACTTCAGAGAGGGGAAGGGAGAAGGAAGAGAGGGATAGAAACTTCAATAATGAGAGAGAATAATTTATTGCCTGCCTTCTGCCCACTGGGGATCAAGCCACAACCTGGGCATGTGCCCTGACCGGGAAACAAACCATGATTGTTCCTGGTTCACAGGTCAATGCTCAACCACTGAACCACACCAGCTTGACTACGCTGACCTTTTTAAAGGTAAATATATGCTACTTCTCTGTACCAACCCCTCCAGTGGCTTCCAATATTAAACAAAGTAAAACCCTAAATCTTCATAAAGCCTTACAATGTTCTCCTGTGGAAATCCAGCTTTCTGACCCTATGTTCTACCACTCTTTTCCTCACTCATCCTAGACTTGTCTCAATGCCTTTGCATTTGCTGCTCTCAGTGCCTGCTTAGCTTATTCCCATACTGTCTTCAGTCTTTACCAAACTGTTGCTTTACTAGTAAGGCCTTCTCTGACCCTAACCTCATCCCCACCCCTGCAATTGGAAATATCATCACCCCACCCCAGTTTATCGTATCCCCCCTCTTGCTTTGTATTTCTCATATTATGTATTTACAGACTAATACATATTTTTAAATATATATTTTTAATATATTTTTATTAATTTTATAGACAAAGGGAGAGGGGGAGAGAGATAGAAACATCAATAATAAGAGAGAATCATTGATTGGCTGCCTCCTGCACACCTCTCCTGGAGAATCAAGCCCACAACCCGGGCATATGCCCTTGACCGGAATTGAACCTGGGACCTTTCAGTCCATAGGCTGACACCCTACCCATTGAACCATATTGGCTAGGGCTTAAATATATTTCTTACTAATTTATTTGACTATATCATAGAACAGGATTTTTTTTTAACATTTTCTATTTATTGCTATTTTCCTAACAATAAAGTCTGACTCACAAAAAGGCACTCAATAAACCTGTTGAATGAGTAAGTGGATTCTTATCTTCAATCACTAAAGGAGAGCTCTGGGGGAAAGAGTGAAGAGAAAAGAACTCAACTGCCAGTGTGTTAGGAAAAAGAACCGTGTTTGCAGGCACTTACCTGCTCCCCGACTGGGAGGCTCTCGGGCTGGGGGAGGTGGCCTATTACTCTGTAAAGAAGGAGAGACTGAAGTAGGCGGAGGAGGTGCTAGGCCTCTGACAGGCCCTGGTGTCTTCCTATGCAAAGAATTGTGTCTCTGTGGCAGCTCAGGGGCCGACTCATTAGTGGGACTAGAGGGCCCATTGGGGACCCCTGGAGGCTGCCGGTAAGGCGGCGGAGGAGGAGCCAGAGACTGGCCACTTGGTCCCGTTCTGACATTCACAGGGGAAGGCGGTGGTTTGACGGGGGGTGGGGCAGGAGGTCCGTCTCGAGTAGGGTGAAGCCTCTGTCCGGGGGTGGGCGGCAGGGGTTTCTCTCTGTTGTAGGCGGGGGCTTTGTTGCTGTGCATAGGCAGAGGTGCAGGGGGTGCGTTGGCACGCCGCCCTGGTGGTGGCGGAGGAGGGGCAGAGGAGCTGTGCTTCATGCCCGGACTGCTGGTGGTGATAGGCCGAGAGAGGTCCGGTAATGAAGGTCTCTGCATCCGGGGCAGTTCCGGGAGGGAGGCTCGGCCGCTGTCTGCGTCATCTTGAGGGCGCCCACTGGCTGCAGACACGGGAGGCCTTGGGGCAGCAGCTCGAGAACTGGGAACGTGCAGGGCTGGCTTACTAGCGAGGTTCTCTACAGACAGACCAGACAGCACACTGGGTCAACAGAGCTGGAGATCTGTTGGTTAGTATCTCTAAGTCACCCAGCCTCATTTCCTTGCACAGCAGCAGGGGAAGTATTTGTATAGTACCAGGTTTTAATCTGGCCCGTTAACAAATATTGCTGTTATAAGTTGAATACTTTTTTATGTAATGCCTTTGCTTTAATATACTCTGTAACTCCACTTCTGCTCCCTTTCCTTCCTCCCCCGTCTACCACATTCCTCAACCCCAGATGAACACCTGGGACCGGAAGGAAATGAATGCGCTTGGGAAATATTGTAAGAAAGTACTTCTCAGATACCTGAACCGTCCTTGGCTCCCACAGGGCGGAGCTTCGGCACTCCTCCTTGGAAGAGACCTCCCTTGGGCTGCAGGGCACCTGCTCCAGAGCCATAACCACCACCGCTTCCTTTGGGTTCTGGAAAGCAGACCATTAGAGCTGTCATTTCATATGCGTCAAGCTGGTGACCAAGTTAATCCTGAGGAGAAACTCCTCCTCTATTTGGGTTCTAATCTGCAAACAAACCAATCTTGCTTTTGCCTTTCCATTAAAGAAATGAAAGTGAAGCCTCTCTGTGCCACAGCTTCACGAAGGGACGAAAGTCCTGGCTGTGATGAGAAAAAAACTACGAAAGGAACAAGGAGCCAGTCTTCCCTTATTTGGATGGGCCAGAAGGATAACCTGGATAAAGACATATTCAACAGAATTCTCTGGGCTCTGCTCTCACAGTCTGTGAGTATAAGGGGGCTAGTAGCCAGGGACACAGGTGTGAGCAAACCTTCCAGTGGCCTTTCAGAATGGACACTTGCAGCAATTATGAAATCACCATTGGCTTCAGCTGAGCGGTTTGTAGGCCTGTAGTGGTCTCCTCAGAGAACAGCTAGGTATGTGCCCTGACAAGCATAAGCAGCACTAGTGAGGGTAGGAGCTGGAAGTCTTACCAAAGGTCAAAAAGATGTTCCTAAGGGACGGGAAAAAACTCGCCCACTCAAGACCCAGCAATAAAAATGACAGCCCAGCCAAGTTTCCAAATCAATCCTAGGCTAGACTCACTCTCAATGACGGGAGCACTCCGATCATTGATGTTGGTCACCTTCTTCAGCTTGGTCCCTTTGCAGATGTCCTGTAAGAGGGCGCCTCGACCCCGCTGCTCATCTCGGCTCAGCTTGATCTGCTCTGTGTTTCCCTGGGGGAAGAGGAATGTATAGAAGTTCGCCATAAACAGTCCCCTTCATCACAAGCTTGGGATAATGCCTTAAGCCGAACTGAGGGTTCCAGGAGACGCCTGTCTAACTGAATCAGATATATATGCCACACACCTCGCAATGGTAATGTACATCACCATTCTTGTTAGTCCTTCTGCTCCTATTGTACCTCCCATTCAGATGTCTCTGACTGGAGGCCTGCAACTCATACTTAATACCTAATGCACAAAGCTTGTGTGTTAGATGCTTTAGATGTATCAGCAGCATCAAGGCAAACATCTACTGAACCCCTGCTAGGTGTTAGGTATTGTGCATGGCTCCATGTTTGAGTGTCAACCTATGAACCAGGAGATCACAGTTCGATTCCCAGTCAGGGCACATGCCTGGGTTGCTGGCTCAATCCCCAGTGAGGGGCTTGCAAAAAGCAGCCGGTCAATGATTCTTTCTCATCACTGATGTTTCTATCTCTCTTTCCCTCTCCCTTCCTCTCTGAAAAAGAACTTATCTCACAAGGTAGTTTTTAGAAATGACAATACTTTTCAAGAGCCTAGCAGTGCTGGTGCATAATAAAAGCTCAATGGCCTTAACTGGTTTTGCTCAGTGGATACAGCATAGGCCCTTGGACTAAAGGGTTGAGGGCACGTACCTAGGTTGTAGACTTGTTCTCAGAATCCCAGCCCTGGTCAGGGAGCATATGGGAGGCAACCAATTGAAGTGTCTGTCTCACATTAAAGTTTCTCTCTCTCTGTCTCTCCCCTCCCTACCACTCTAAAAGTCAATGGAAAAATATCCTCAGGTGAGGATTAACAAAACAAAACATAAAAGTTCAATGCATAGTAGCTAGATTTCATTTGGAAGAGAAACCCACACACAGCAAATTTCTGGAAAGATACACACTGATAGTAGCAAAAGTTAACTTCTGGTAAGCATTATTTATGTTAATCTGTATTTTCTAGTTTTCCCATAATCTCCTATATAATAAAAAGCTAATATGCAAATAAACTGAATGGCAGAACAATCGAACAATCGGTCACTATGATGTGCAGTGACCACCAAGGGGCACGCGTGAAACATGGCGGGCATCAGCAGTGGTGGATGGTGGAACAGATGGCAGGAAAGGAGGGGGGAGGGGCCAGACCAGGGGTGAGCTTCTGTTGGTTATGTGCATGCACTGCAGTCCTACCCAGCGTTCACACCTGCTGCCTGCGCTGGCCCTGATCGCCCCTCAAGGATTCTCCACCTCCCCCAGATCCTGAAGGGCGATCGGGGCTGGCAGCCACCTCGCACACTTGCTGCCAGCAACAGCCCCACTCGCACCCGCAGCCAGCACCGGAGCCACTGCTGGTATCGGGCTGCCGATCGGCCCTGAGGGATTCTCTCCCTGTTCTACTGGTTTTAAACATCCCATTACTGACACTTTAAGTCTTTTTACTAATACATCCATAAACTCCTTTTTTTCTTGATGGAGTGTTAGACTTGATGAATTTGGTTTTAAAATGAACTGATTTGGAGAGGATGAAATGGTAGCAAAGAATCACCCACCGGAAATTGCTACTCCTTTTCTCAGAGATGCCAAAGAAATGATGTACTGACCTTTAAGAACAAAGTTTTAGGAGGAAAACATCAGTTCCTACTCTGATGCCACCTGTCCAAATATCCACTTAGACTGAACCAAGATAAGAAAACAAGAAGCTATTATGATCCTCAGAAGACCTCTCAAAAACCAGAACTAATTGATAAGACTTGACTTGTTTATGCTCCATCTTCCTGCACCGCAAGGCTTTGCGAGTACCTTTGAGAGTACGGTATGGCTTCTACCAGGAAGCCTTAAATTCCCACTAAGGTTTTGAGATAGCTGGGTGAAAGGGTTACCCACCTGATTAAAAGTGGAAGGTGGAGGAGGACCAGGAGGGGGTGGAGGGGGAGGAGGAATTGGCATCCTTGCCCAGCTCGCAGTTGGCACTGCTCTCTCTCCGTTTTAATTTGCAGCTTTAGGTCACTCATATACCTGCAAATGAAATAAAAATTCATGAGAACTTTGCCATTACGGACAGAGTACCAGGAGAACAAGGGGACTGGGCCTGACACCAGGGAAACCAAGCATCTCATTTACTAATTCCACTGTGATATAGTCCAGGGCTTGGTAAACTTTTTCTATAAAAGGTCAGATAATACATATTTTAGGTTTTGTAAGGCACATATAGTCTCTGGTGCCTATTATTCTTTTTAATATTTTTAATTAATAAATTTTATTTTTTTAGGTTCAAAGCAAAACTGAACAGAAAGTACAAACAGCACCCATATAACCTGCACCCTCCCCACCTCAACACACACACACACAAGCATCCCCAACTACCTACCCCTTGCAGGGGTCCCTTTGTTACAACGGAATCCATACTGACACCTCATTATCACCCAACGTACACAGTTCACATTGGAGTCCACTCCTGGTATACATTCTATGGATTGTGACAAATGTACAATGCCAACTACCCACTACTGTAGTATCACGGAAGAGTTTCACTGCCCTAAAATAACTTGTGATCTATCTATTCAACTATCCTTCCCCCCAACCTCTGGTGACCACTTATCTATTGTCTCTATAGAACTGCCTTTTCCAAAATGTCATATAGTTGGAATCATAACAGGTAGCCTTTTCAGACTGGCTTCCTTTACTTAGACATTTAAGTTTCTTCCACGTATTTTCAGGACTGGATAGCTGATTTGTTTTTAGCGCTGAATAATATTCCACTGAGTGTACCTCAATTTATTTATCCATTCACCTACTGAAGGATGTTTTGGTTGCTTCCAATGTTAGCAATTATGAACAAAGCAGCTATAAATGTACTTATGTGGGGCGGGTCGGGTGCGGCCAGGCCCGGAGCAGCGGCTGCCAGGCTGGGAGCGGCCAGGCCCGGGGGAGCAGGCGGGTCGGGTGCGGCCAGGCCCGGAGCAGCGGCTGCCAGGCTGGGAGCGGCCAGGCCCGGGGGAGCAGGCGGGTTGGGTGCGGCCAGGCCCGGAGCAGCGGCTGCCAGGCTGGGAGCGGCCAGGCCCGGGGGAGCAGGCGGGGCGGGTGCGGCCAGGCCCGGAGCAGCGGCTGCCAGGCTGGGAGCGGCCAGGCCCGGGGGAGCAGGCGGGGCTGGTGCGGCCAGGCCCGGAGCAGCGGCTGCCAGGCTGGGAGCGGCCAGACCCGGGGGAGCAGGCGGGGCTGGTGCGGCCAGGCCCGGAGCAGCGGCTGCCAGGCTGGGAGCGGCCAGGCCCGGGGGAGCAGCCGGGTCGGGTGCGGCCAGGCCCGGAGCAGCGGCTGCCAGGCTGGGAGCGGCCAGGCCCGGGGGAGCAGGCGGGTCGGGTGCGGCCAGGCCCGGAGCAGCGGCTGCCAGGCTGGGAGCGGCCAGGCCCGGGGGAGCAGGCGGGTCGGGTGCGGCCAGGCCCGGAGCAGCGGCTGCCAGGCTGGGAGCGGCCAGGCCCGGGGGAGCAGGCGGGTCGGGTGCGGCCAGGCCCGGAGCAGCGGCTGCCAGGCTGGGAGCGGCCAGGCCCGGAGCAGCAGCAGCCAAGTCCAGAGCAACTAGGTCGGGAGCGGCAGTGACCAGACCCGGAGCAGCTGGTTGTGGAATGAACCAGAGCAACAGAGGCCAGGCCCTGAGCAGCCAGGCCCAGAACAGCTCGCTCCTTGCCTGCCCCTGCCACACGGCTGCTTCTCAGACATGGCTGGAAACTTTCGTGGGAACTTGAGGGTCTGCTGAATCAAGTGATGAAGGCTTAGATCTGGATGTGTTGAATTAGTTTAGGACTGGGGTGTTGATCTGTGAGTGCCTTGGGTGGGGCCTGGATGAGGCTGGTTGACCTAGTGGGAAATGTCTTTTGTGTGAAGTGTATCATTGGGCATGTGGAGGTATTATTGATATGAGAAAATGCTAAGTAACTGATTTACTATCTGAAAAGGGATTTACTATTGGGGAAATTGAGGGAAGAAGAGACTGAACATAAACTGCACCTATGGATGAGGACAATGGGGGATGGGGGGGGACGGAGGGTGGGGTGGGAACCTGGTGGAGGGGGGAAGAAATGAGGAACCTTTGTAATAATATGAACAATAAAGATTGATTTAAAAAAAAAAAAAAGAACTAAAAAAAAAAATAATAAAAAATAAATAAATAAATGTACTTATGTGGGCATAAATTTTCAGCTCATTTGAGAAAATACCTAGGAGCATGATTGCTGAACCACAGGGTAATAAACTGCCAAACTGCCTTCCAAAGTGGCTGTACCATTCTGCATTCCCAAGAGCAATGAGGAGAGTTCCTGCTGCTCCACATCCTTGTCAGTATGTGGTGTTGTCAGCGTTTTAGATTTTGGGCATTGTAACAGGTGTGTAGTGGATCAATGTGTCAGAAACAGAAGAATCGGTATCTACAGAAACATGAGGCTATGCACATAGTTCAGTGTTCTAAAATTTGTTAACTTGCTGAATTCATTCATTCATGAATGCACCTACCATCCAGTAAATATTTATTGAGCACCCGCCAGATGCCAAAGCATCTAACTATATAATAAAAGCCTGAGCAACCTTTATAGCTTAACAACCAGAAAGAGCAGTCGCTATGATGCGCACTGACCACCAGGGGGCAAATGCTCAATGCAGAAGCTGCCCCGGGTGATTAGTGTGCTCCCACAGGCGGAGCGCTGCTCAGCCAGAAGCCAAATTCACGACTGGCGGCTGGCGAGTGTGGCAGAGGCGTGGTGGGAGCCTCTTCTGCCTCCGTGGCAGCGCTGAGGAGCAGCGAGCCAAACAGTAAAGAACAGTGAGCAGGTGGGCAGTAAGGAACAAAGGGCCCAGACTGCGAGAGGGTGCAGGCTGTGCTGAGGGAAATTTCGTGCACCAGGCCTCCAGCTGTTCTGTAACAGTGGTTCTCAGCTGGGTGACTTTGTCCCCCAGGAGACATTTAGCAATGACACCAATGAGGGATGCTACTGGCATCTAGTGGACAGGAAACAGGATGCTGCTAAACATTCTGTAATACACAGGACAGCTCCCTCCTCCTAACAAAGAATTAGCCAGGCTAAAGTGTCAATCATGTTGAGGTTGCCCAGCTGGTGTGGCTCAGTGGGTGAGTGTCAATCTATAAACCATCAGGTCACGGTTCAATTCCCAGTCAGGGCACATGCCTGGGTTGTGAGCTCGTGCGCAGGAGGCGGCCAATCAATGTTAACAAAAGTTATACTTGTAACATTTTCTATGTTTATTGATATTCTCTAATTTTCCCCATAGTTTTAGTACAGTAAAAATATTTTAATGATATCATTAACCATTTAATGAAATGACAAGCCATTCACAATGTATTAGTAATATCAGATCAGAAATCAGTAGATATATATAAAAAAAAGAGGTTGTGCTCTCATCATTGATGTTTCTCTCTCCCTCTCCCTTCCTCTCTGAAATCAATGAAAATATTTAATACTAGTAATAATGCTGAGATGAATAAATCCTGTTCTAGAAGCTGAACAAGTTTCTACAATCTTGGGCTTACACTCTAGTGGAAGAGAGAAATAAGAAACAAATATAATCTCATTATCTCAGTTACTGGTAAGTAAAACACACACATCAGAAAACCAAGGGAGAATGTAGGGACAGGGTGAAGTATAGTGTTCTTTAGATAGAAGTGCTGGGAGAGGAGGCCAGAGATGAGTGGATGGCTCATCAAAGAAGTGTCTCCATGAGCAGAGCAAGTTCTATGACCGTTTAAGAGAAGAGCATTCCAGAAAGAATTAACAGCAAGTGAAAAGCCACTGAGATGGTGTGTTGGAGAACTAGTGAGGAGGCCAGGGTAGCTAGAATACAGTGAAAAGAGTGGCAGAAAATGAAATTGGAGGCCTCCAAATCCAAAAGTAGTATCCTTCTCCATTTTACATGCCTATAATACTCGGAAGTCTAAAGGAACCAACAGCTTCACACCTACAGGAAACCATAAGTTCCATCAGTGATTTCATTAATCCATTACTGCTCTTGATCTTCTGGTTTAAGCACAACTAGGGACCTATGTACCAACTGGAAGCTTTCCAGGGTTAAAAGTTACCTGATGATAATCTGCCTTCCTGTTGACCTGCCCTTCAACTTTGCTCTGAGCAGCAGTCCAGCATGAGAGCCAGGACCTCATTACCACAGTGGTAATGGCATCCAGCTCCTAAGCTAAAGAACCGGGACCTGGGAGAAGAGCCAGAAGGTACCTAAGAGTATTCACATGCCACTCCAGGAGACTAACCAACAGCAGGAGCCAAACAGATCCCTATAATTACAAGGGAACTGATGTCAACATAGAATTATGAACACCCTCCATGTGTTCTACGGCAGATTGCAGTAGAGGGTCTCCACTTGTATTTTTGGTTTAAAATACAAGGAAACAGACGAATAACTTCCATGTTATACAAAGTTTACTACCCTCCGCACCCCCGAAGGCTTTGTATAATGTGAAAATAATCCTCAGCACTCTTCTCTCAATGGAGAAGATGCTACCTCCCCTTAGAAATTCAATTCAGTCAAACCTCTGGTGAAACAGATTTCTATCATGATGGAATTAATTAAAATTTCAAGGTTACTCCATGAAGGGGGGTAGTGGGAATTGTATTTCCAACTGCAGGCATTTTTCAATCATGGACAATTCAACTATGCAACAAATCTGATTGTCCAACAAGTATAAAAAAAAAAATCACATACCCACTGTGAATATTTAAACTGAAAATCTACAACTAAATCTGGATGTTTTATTCTTTAGATCAATGATTTTTCAGTTACAAGCAGCACATAACCCTGGAAGACAAAAGGAAGGCAGTAGAACAATGATATATTACTACATAATGAAATCCTTTCACATATAATTTCTCTAATAAAAACATAAGTATATATCCCAATAATTCAGCTTTTCTCCATGACTCTTTCCTCTT